GCTGCTGGCTCCCATGTAGGCGGCCGCGGAGCCACGGCACGGAGCCATGGCCAGCGCCCACCCGGTCCGGCCACCTTCCACGCTGACCGTTCCCCGTGCACGGGGAGGCAGCCGCTCACGATTTCTCAGCTCCCCGCGCGAGCCGCCGCACACAGCCTACAGCAGGCCGGTTCCTGTACGACGCCACCTCAATTATTAATGGCTGGATTTACACGGCACGCCGCAGCCTCCGCCTGGCACGTCCTCCGGGGGCCGGAATTCCCGGCACCTTTGCCATCGCTCCTGCCTGCCCACCAGCCCCGAGGGAGGGTGATGTCTGCAGCTGGAGACCCCCAGCATCACCCATGTCCTCCACTGCACCCCCCATCATCTGTGCTGGGGGTAACCAGCTCCCTGGCAGCACAGGGGGCCCCAGCCCCCCCGGCACAGCCGTGAGGGGAGGTGTCCCACGGCCCCCAGCCGAGACCGCACCAGCAAGGTCACAAAAGAACGATAAAACCATCACCCGCGGACCACAGGAGGCACGAGTGCAGATAACTGGGCAAAAAAATACATCTGCTTGGCTGTGACTTGCAATCCACTATTCATAACCCTGCTTCAGAGCTCTAATTATTTCTTTATAGTGCCAATATAGCCCTGGCCAGGCTCCCAGTGAAGACTGGCTGAATTAATTGATCGACAGAAGGCAAATAGACTTCACCCATTTCAAGCACCCATTCAGTTCCTTTTTTCTAGCAGCTGTCACTGTTGTCAGCATACCGAAACGAGGCTTTTGTACATGTTCTTTGGCATTAAGCAGCCTAAGAAAAAGAGAAGAAATGTGAACTAGTGAGATTTGCACTGAATTATTTCTAAATATTATTGTCTGCGCAGCGTTTGCATTTAACATGCTGGCCATACACTGCTTTCATTTCCTCAATTAAACAATTAATTGCATGCCTTGAGCACAGTAACTCTGCAGTGTTTTCCCTCTGCTCAGCAGCATCCCCACACTTACACAGCAACACGTATATTAGACTGACAACTGCACTGATATTGACAGCTCCACACTGAGCACTTCCAAGGTTACCTGGTCCTCAGGGTGACGGAAGGAATTCCTGCTGCCCGAACAGCACCTGGCCTGACAGTCCCACCAATGGCCCTTTCTGTCCACAGAACACACACGCTGTACTAGTTAAATAATGGGGTTATTCCCCCCTAGCAAAGTGTCAATAGCAAGAAATCACCATGCGGAGTTCCACTGTTGCTGCCACCCCTACAGCAGGAGCAATGGCTCTCAGTTTAGCACACATGTAATAAAACTGCATCATTTCACACCTTGCTGCTACTAAAACTATTCCTTACCTGACACCTGCTACCCTTGCTAAAGTGGTACTTCTCATCAGAACACCTGAAATGACCCACACAGACAAGCCAGGGCAGAATTAGTGCTTGTTTTTACTTAGATATCTCATTATTGCAATCTTCAAACATAATTCAATAAATACAAAATTAAGAAAAATGTCAATAGATTTTTATTACCATTTATTATTATTATTATTATTAATTATTCCAAACCAACTGTGATTCCCTGGAGATGTCTGACTATAGTCCAAACATGAAATGTACACAGTCTCCCTTATGATATTATATTACATTTGTTTCAAGCTTATAAAAATATATATTGACTTCTCAAGTGTGTATTTACAGTATATCACATGTGGTAATGAATATCAAAAAGCATCTGGAGATGAACCAACTTGATTCCAGTTTTGGTTTCACGGGAGGGGGGTGCAGCGTGCTGGCTGCGGCCGGAGCTTCCCCAGTTCTGGCTCCAGCCCACCGCCCCTGCCCACCCCGGGGGTGGGACACACGTCCCCCGGCCCCGCTCCGTCCCGGGGGGCCCGATCCTGCCGCCGCTGTGCTGCCGCGCACCGCCCGGCGCTGCCCGCAGGATCCGTCCCTCCGACCCCGCGGCGAGCCGGGCAGGGCCAGAGGGGCCAGGGGGTGCGCAGCCGGGGGGGCTGCCGGACCCGCTCCCCAGCCCCCCGAGGGGATGCGCTGCGCCCTTGCGCAGAGCAGCACCGGGAGCCGCGAGCGGAGGGAGCCCGGGAGCCGGAGGGTCTGCAAAGCGCATGGCCCGGCCCCCCCAGACCTCGCCGGGGCGAGGCTGGACGCCCCGTCGCTGCCCCCCGGCAGCACCCGGCCTTTGGCTGCCCTCCCAGGGGCTGCGGGGCCCCGACAGCCGGCGGGACCCGCCGAGGGGTGGGGGCTGCTCTGCGGGGGCCTCCCCCCGTGCAAGAACGGCCGAGGGTCCTGTCCGCACGCCAGCCTGGACCCCCGCGCCTGCTCTGCTCCTCCGACTCATAACCGGCCCCCGCTCTGCCCGAGCACCTGAACCCCAGTCCCCTCCCAGGCGCAGCCCTCGGCTCCGGCCGAGCCTGCAAAGCGCTCGCCCTCCCGTCTCCTGAGAGCCCAGGTGATGCTGCCGCAGCCAAGGCGCCGGTGCTGGGCCGGTCCGGGGCCCTGGCCAGCCCCACTGTCCCCAGCCCCACCGTCCTCAGCCCCGCCGTCCCCAGCCCCGCCGTCCCCAGCCCCGCCGTCCCCAGCCCCACCGTCCCCAGCCCCACTGTACCCAGCCCCGCCGTCCCCAGCCCCGCCGTCCCCAGCCCCACCGTCCCCAGCCCCACTGTCCCCAGCCCCGCCGTCCCCAGCCCCACTGTCCCCAGCCCCCGGAGCAGGATGGAGCCTTCCACCCTGCCCCAGCCTGGCTGAAACCATGCGGCGGCATCTCCCTTGGCGGAGCAGCTTCAAAACAGTGGCGCTAATTACTTTAATTATAAGGTATTGAGTACTTCCCCAAAGAGAGGTGCTAAGAGGATGCAAGTTAATTTTAAAATCATAACAATCTATAGCTTAATCTGCTCGTTTTATTATCCTCAGTGTTGATGAGGAGCTCGATTAAAAGTGTTCATTGTTGCAACAAGCTAAGCTAGAAAGCATACTTCCATTATGTGCTTTTTCTTTCTTAAAGGAGAGGCCAGGAAAGCAAATACCTCTTGTTCCTGCTGAATTAGAGCATGGTCTCATCCACAGAACCATACTGTCTAAAAGAAACAGCTTTCTGAAACAGCACATCCAAGTTCCTCACCAGAGTAAGTCAGAAAAGTAATTAAACAGTGAATTTCTTTTGGGAACAGCTAGAGAGACTCAAAGAAATTGCACCCTCAATTCTGATTGTGCTGGAGAAGATACTATGGGAGCCTAATTCAGTGGGGGAAGCACTAAAGAAATGATTGAAAAATGGTCTCGTTTTCACTTGGAGTTCTCTAGCACGGCGCGAGCATCCCACGATTACACTAGCCGGGGGTACCAGCCCCGCACAGAGCCCAGCTGCTGCGGGAGGGCAGGGACCCCTGCCCGCACAGCTCCGGCAGCCCAGGGAACCTGCCCCAACGCCAGAGGAGCTGTGCTGGGGTTCATCCCTCTCCAGCTAGTGCTGAGGTTTATCCCTCTCCAGCTAGTGCTGGGGTTCATCCCTCTCCAGCTGGGCAACGTTCAGAGGGACTGAGGAGCAGCGGCCACGGGCAGCACCCAGAGCTGGCCCCTCCTCGCTTCCGTAACTTTGGAGACAGGGTCTGTCCTGGGGGGAGGAACACGGAACCTGCTCACGACCAGGTCTGTTCCCCAGACTCTGAGGCTCTCTGTCACCTCGTCACCAAGCCTTGGATTTCCCCAGACAGCCCTGAAAGCGGCTGCACCAGCCTGGAGCCAGCCCCGCCAGCGCTGAGCCCCCAGCGCAGGTCCCGGCATCCCGGCTGCTGGAAATCCCGGCGAGACGGGGGAGAGCATCCGGAATCAAGTCGGTCCAACTCCCTGCCTAGAGAACTATAATATACTTTCTCTATAGATAAAATGTAAACATAAAGAGCATACAAATTGCACTTGATCCTTGGGATCTGGCATTTCTACCAAATGAAGGTTTCGGTTCACCATTATTACTCTTCAGGGTGTGAAACAGCAGGATGGCGAGCAACCAACCAGACCACACAAGGCCCAAACTTAAAGACAAATTATTTCCATTTAAAAACTATCCATGTGACATTGGGAAATGTTGCTCAAACTGCAGAGGTGGCAGGAAGGAGCGAGCCTGTTTACCCCAGGGAGCAGCAACCCCCCCGGGGCAGCTCCGTCTGCGCCCGCAGAGCAACGGAGCGGGGGGTCCCGCGGGGCGAGCGCTCCGGCCCCGAGCTCTGCACAACCCGTGTCTGTGCCGGCTCACGCTCCCCTTCGTGTTTGCTACCGGGAGCTCCAACCCTGCGTGGGGGAAGGTGCCCTTCTCCCCGCCAGCCTGCGGGACCCAAGAGCGGCTGGGAGCGCGCGGTGCTCACCGCAGCACTGCCTGGGAACACCGGCACAAGGCAGAAAATTGATAAACCAACATCAGCCGGCACCTTCTCAAGACCACTGGTCGGTGAAGTTCGAGCAGAGTTCTGATCTCTGATGCAATCAAGCTAAAATACCTGAAAAAAGTGAAATTTTGTCAGTCTTGAGCACTCCTGGACCCAGCCTGGCCACGCAGCCAAGCCAGAAGAGCCCAAGGGCCGGGGAAAAGGAAACCACCGCAATGAGGGTTCACTAAGCAGAAGCTGGATCCCTACGGTAAGGTGTCCTGCAAAGGTCCACGGGCCCAGCACCAGCACCCACGGCCCTGCCACCCTGCCCGAGCACGCGAGTGGGAGAGCAGGAGAACGCCCGGGCAGGGCAGGCGCCGCGCCGGCCCCGCGAGAGGCTGCCCTGGGGCCCGTCCCTCCATCGCCATTTAGATCCTCATCCTCTACAAGCAGGCTAAGAGAAGGATCTGACTCAAACAGATTTTCAGCCACACTCTGAACATCTCCCACAGCATTCATTTCCTTTGTAAATCTTTGCCTTTCATCATTAATAATTCACTTGAAATACTTACAGATGATAATAAAAGGCCTACAAAACTCTATACAAGGCTGCAAAGACCCATTTAATTAACTGACTTCAAGGAAACTTCTATTATTAAGCAGATGCTATTTATGTCTTCTGTCAGGGATGAGGCCTGGATCAGTAGGATCTGCCAGTGTGCAACAAAATAAAGTGCTGATGCGCCCTGGATTGCAGGGCAGGATTGCAGGGATCCCACAGATGCCATGGTCAGCTCTGCCCAGGCCCCAGGCCCCAGCCGGGGTGCGCGGTCCCTTCGGCACAGCCCCTGAAGGCCCCTCGAACACCCCGGCCCGGGGCGCACCCCACTGCGGAGGCTGTGGGGCACGCTGGCTCCGCAGCCCCCGGGCACAGACCTCAGCCCAAGCATGAACCCGCACCAGAAAACTGACACCTCGGCGCAGCAGAGCGGGACGCTCCGGGCAGACGGCTGCCTCTCCCCTCCTTGCTCGCGGCTGGGTGCGGGGCAGCCGGAGGACGAGGGGAGAGCACTCACGGCAGCCGAGGCGGCCCTTCCCCCTCGGGCAGCACTGCCCTGCCCGTGGGCTGCAGCGTGCTGCCTGCTCTCGCTCTGCTCTGCAAGCTCCCACCCACGGCTGGGCTCCGGCAGTAAAACACGGGACTGGGACCTGCACAAAAGGCAGCGAAGGCTGAGAGCATCAGCAGGGCGGCCCGAGGGCTCCACTGCTCGACCTCTCTTGGTCGTGGCTCTCTTCAAAGCTTTCCATTTCTTCCCCTGAAATGGTCTTGTCAAGAGAGCCTTCGAAACATTCAGCACCACTTGCTCTGCACTTCAGTGAAGAACATTTGGTTTTGTTCACCAACTGTGGTGTCAGGATTCGGTGAAGGAACTCTTGGAGCAGAAGGGACGTGGCTGGGAAAGTGTTTCCTTCAGCATAGCAGATGGGGAAAGTCACCTTCCAGAAGTTGGGCACTGGGTGTGAGCTGTGCTCCGGTCTCTAAAAATAAAACCAATAAAAGCTCCTTGTGGGGTTGCTAGAACATGTCAGCCTGTATAAAAATACCCATGGATTTCACCAGTAGGATGCTAGATACAAAAATGCTGTCAGCTCTGGATTAAGACAGCGCACAAACAAACGTCCATTCACCCTGTTAACCCAATTACCATATGAAATGGCATCGTTGCAGTTTGACTCATCTTACAAAACAGTGCCAGGGAGAGCCACATCCACCCAGGCACACCGCACGCGTCCCAGGAATCCTTGGCTTCCCCGGCACAGGGGACAGGAAGCCCTGCTCTCTTGCCACGTGGAATGACTTGTTTGGCAGCAGCCCAGTGATTCCTACATCCCACCTGAAACCGCGAGGTTTCAGAGATTTGGTCCGGTCGGGGGCCGGCTGGCTGTCTCCTCCCCGGGAGCTCTGCACCTCTGCGGGGACCGCTTCACACCTGCACGCCTCGGCCATGCATTTGGATCACCTGGGCCCGGAGAGTCTGGATCCCGCTCAGGATGGTCTTCTGGTGCTCCCCCAGCATGATCCCCAGGCTGAGGACATCTCTGCAAAACGAGCCCCGCGTCAGCCACGAGAAACAAGCCCTAACTGTAAAACATCCCGACACCAACTACTCCCAGGCAAGGGCAGCGCAGGTTTCAGACCTGACAGAGTAAGAAATCCCCAGCCCGTTGTCCCAGCCAAGGCAACGCAGAACCTGCCCGGGAATCCCGGGGTACCAGGGGCTGCAGCCCGGCGGGCAGGAGACGGCTCCCGACCCTGCTGCCCCACGCTGCCCGCGTAACGGGTCACCAGTGAACGGCACCGGATCTGACCCTGCGCTCTGGAAGGGACAGGCAACACGACTCTTGGCAGAAACGAGGGGTTAAAGTCACAAACTCCAGATTAAAATCTCCGCTTCAAAAATCAGCAGCCGAGATGCACAACACGTGCAGCCCAACCCACACCAGCAAGCTCTTACAGACGTGCTTTGGAAGATCTGTCCTCTCGTGTAGCGAGGCCTGACTGTAACTGCAAAGCCGAGCTCGCTCACACTGCACCCGGCGACACGAGGTTATAGCCAGGAAACCAGTTCACTTACTGGGCTGTCATCCTGGCCACCGATTCCAGGTAGCAGTAGCCCGCAGCGGTGAAGTTGTCTTTGTACCTGCCCATTTCTATTGCTTCCAGCCACTCGCCTACGGAGCTGAAGGATGGGAAGGCTGAGAAGGTACGCTCAGTGAGGGGGATGGATGTGCTGTGGGACCTGCCAACAAAACGGGGCAGTGAGGCCGGCTGAGGCAGGAACGGGCGGGCAAGGCACAACAACGGGCAGCAAAGCGAGAGGGTGGGCACCTGGGGCACTTCGGGGGCTCCGGGCTCTGCACCAACTTGCTCAGGATGTTGTGGATGTGCGAGAACTTGGGCCTCTGGCTGCGGTCCTTCTGCCAGCAGTCGAGCATGAGCTGGTGGAGGGGCGGCTGGCAGTTCACCGGGGCGGGCAGGCGGAACCCGTCCTCCACAGCCTTCATCACCTGCAGCGGCAGGAGGACGGAGGAGGTGAGGGGACGGGGCCAGGCGCTGCAATGCAGATCGCAGGCAAAGCCCGCGGGCAAACCTCCCACCTCCCACCCAGCCTGGGGAGCAGCGGCAGCTCCTCCGCGCACCGTGGAGCCACCCGCACACCGGCAGCAACGTCCTCATCTACCGCGCGGCCGCTGCGGACTCACGTCCTGGTTGGACATGTCCCAGTAGGGCCTCTCGCCGTAGGACATGACTTCCCACATGACGATGCCGAAGCTCCACACGTCGCTGGCTGGGCTGAAGTGGTGATACTGGATGGCTTCGGGGGCTGACCACAGCACCAGGCTCTTCCCATGCTGGACGGGCAGAAGGGGAGAAACGACCGGCTCACACAGAGGGATGTAGCCAGCGCTCGCGATCCCCTGGCAGCCGTTCATCGTGCCCTGCCCAGCATCGCAGGGCAGGCACCGAGCAAGCCCAGGTGCCACGTGCAGGTTTAATACTAACAGAAAACTTCTGCCTCAATTTGTGTTAAAATGGCCATGCAACCGTACGCTGCATGGGAGTGTGAGTCCTGAAATATTAATGGGAGAGGGGAATGTCTCTGGGAAGAGCTGATGGCACTTTATAATGAATATTTAATGAAAACCATTTCAGAGCTGCGCAAACACACAGTCCCTCCACCCTGGCTCGCTCTCCTGTAATTAACAATCCCCATCTCGGCATCTGCAGAGCCCTCTGGATACACTAAGGGAAGCAGGTGACAGGCACCGCAGCTAATTGTAATTAACGGTGCGGAGACCTTGAGCCCGAAGCCGTGGCCCCGCCGCACCGTGGTGGGAGAAGCCGGGGCTCCTGCTGTGCTCTCCGTCCCCCTCGCTCAGCGGGACACCCTGCACCCCGCAGCGCAGGGCAACGCTGCGCCAGAGCTTCGTGGCCACGGCTGAGCCACGGCTGAGCCACGGCTGAGCCACAGCGCTGCCGGCAGCACTCGCCGCGCCCGGCGAGGGGGTGCGCGCTTTGGCAGGGACCCCCCGGGACGGCGGTGCTCTCCCTGCAGAGCACACTGAGCCGGCCTCCCTGCAGCTACTGCTAAGGCCTGGAGAAGTTTTCCACGACTCTTTCTGCCGCAGGCCTGCTCAGAGCTGACAAACGACTGCAGCTCCCGGCAGAGCGAGCGCCGAGCCCTGTGAGCAGGCTCTTCCCCCCCGGGACGCCCGTACCCCGCTCCGGGACACAGGCGCCGGGTCCCGGCTGGCAGCTCGCATCAGCTGCTGCCTCCCTGGCGCTGCCCAATGCTCCCTGCAAACAGTAAGTGCTCAGCTGATTGAGAAATCAATGCTCTTTAAAATATTAATGCCTGGTTAACGTGATGCGCTAACAGTCCCCGCTAATACCAAGAGACTGCAGGGTACCACACGGAACGCACCTTACTGTTCTGCAGTTAAAAACGCATTGATGCACCTCAAGTGAAAGGTGCTGCAGTGGTGTGCGAAAAGCAGGGAGGGAGAGCCGGCTCCAGTGCGGGGCTGGGGGCCTCGGGGGCCATGAGGTGCCAGCCCAGCCCCCCGGCTCCGTGCCCAAGGGCTCCCGGGCAGCTTCTCCGAGCACACGCAGGCACCTGGGAGACGTGTTGGCTAGCAGAGCTGACAAGGCATTAAGTGTGAATCAAGAAGGACTTAAATTCTTAATTGAATCTCATGAATTTCATTACAAGTGATAAAACAGACATAAGGAACCCTGAGGCTGCTAGGGCTGCCTCCAACCACCCACCACCTCTCTGCCAGCTCACGAGGATGCGCGGCAGGGCTGCAGCCAGAGGAGGAGCGGTGCCGGGCAGCTGCTGTGAAGTTCCCTGGCTAAACACATTTGATTCTCAGCTGAGAAAGAAGCTGTGAAGAGGCAGAGCCATATTCATACCTGAGGAAGGAAATGGGAGCCTAGGAAAAATACCGGTTCTGAAGTAGAATTGCTACATGTCTTATTAACTCCACCTGTGGAAGCTGCCTGGCTTTGGGTTTGATCCTTATTCAGCATTCAGAGCAGGCTGCAAAGCTCTCCAGTGATGCCAGTCCAAGTGCTCCTGGCCGTGGCCGAGCATTGCAGCCAGGGAGATCCACCTCTGCGGAGGTTTTCTAGCTCTTCCATCAGCATTTTGCTTTTGGGGAATGTTGAAAATAGAATTTGGAAATGCGGCTTACCATGGTGGAGAAGATGGTCTCCATCTTATCTTCTTGTGGCTGTCTAAAACCAGTTATTTTGCAAGCCAGGCTGCTGTTCACAAGGACTTTGTGGGCAGCAAGGCTTTTATGTATGTAACCCATCTCTGCCAGGTACTTCATTCCAGAGGCAATCCCCTGCAACATGCAAACGAGCTGGGTGGCCGTGAACTGTCCCTCATGTTTCTGTAAAAAAGAGAGGAGAAAAAGCCAAAGGTGAGTAATGCCCAGTTCAGGGGGGCACCGCCAGCAGAGCCCGAGCGTGTGGTGGCCCCAGCAGTTGCCCCCCGCTCGCACAGCACTCACCCGGAGAAAGGAGTCCAGCACCCCATTGCCCATGTACTCCATCACGATCATCATGGTACTGCCTGCACGGACAGACAAGGAGCACTGCGTGAGGCCTGCCCCCCGCTCAGGCAGTTCTGACTCTGCCAGCGTTAGAAACCCGGGCGCTAAGCTCCAGCGTGGCCAGCCCGCACTGCCTGCCTACTAAGGGGGACAAGGACTTTATCTCAGACAGTTTGCAACGAGCAGTGGGTCCGAGGCTTTCCTGTCATTCCCAGCTGGATCCCACTGGACCCCAAAGTCAGATGCTCCTTTTATCAGGACTCTGAACCACATCACCAAGGAGGACAGCGCTGCCCAGCAAGAACAAAAGCAACCAGCTCAGCCCAGGATTCAGGACAGAAGTGCTTCCTTACCTAGTAAAAAGGCTAGTTAAAATCAGCACACGTGCTCACATTTCTTTGGATTTACACGAATATCCATTCAACTACAGCATCCACAGACTAGTTCAGCGCACACAGTCCCCTGAGGGCCAGGAGCTGTCACAGCGTCATCTGTTTTACCGACATAACCTCTCTTCAATTTGCTTGTATGAAGAGTGCGAACTTTGCTGCTAAGCTAGTTCTACTACCTGGATTTATTAATCCAGCCATAAGCATTTTGTTAATCATCGGAATGCTAAACTAGCTAACACACCTGCCTTCCAGAGAGCCAGCAGCATTGCAGCTCCGGCAGCAGGTCCCCGCGCCAAAGCCAGGGCTGACGCACGCTGCCGGCGCAGGAGCCCTCCTCCAGCCCCGGCTGCCCCGTGCCAGCCCCCCTCACCTCTGGTGATGACCCCCTCCAGGCGGATGACGTTGGAGTGGTCGAACTGGCCCATGGTGCAAGCCTCTGCCAGGAAGGAGCGCTGCTGCTTCTCGGAGCAGCCTGCCCGCAGCGTCTGGATCGCCACCGGCAGCTCCCGCTTGCTGGGCAGCTTCAGGCACCCCCGGCAAACTTCACCAAACTCTCCTGTGCAGCAGAGAGGGGTGTTAGACGGCACCCAGGGCAGCCCGGCCCTCGCAGCCCGGGGCGCAGCACCGGGCCCTCCCAGAGGACGCCCGGCCCTCGCGGCTGCAGAGCCCTCTGCCACTTCCAGACGCTGCAGGAACGAGCTGCCTGCTCGCCGCCTTCACGGCTTCCTCGCAGCTTTCGGTGCCACCGCGTAAGGGCGATGTTCTACTGAGCTGTTGCAATGCGCTATAAAGACAGCTTTTATACATATATGCACACACCTGCTACAAAGCAAAAGGCAGCAGTCCTCCTCCGGGAAGTCAGCTTCCCCTTGGGGGATATTTTCTGTGCTTCGGGATCATAAAGTGCATTTCTGTAGTGCGAGTGATGTGTCTTGCTGTGTAGACGAGCGAGACTTTCCCATCGTTAATCAGAGGCTTTGCCAATCCATAAACCCAAACGCGCTGAGCCCTGCACGGTTGTGAGTTTCCCCTGCAGAGTCTTTCATCATCTTCTGCCACCTTTGCTGAGCACACAACCCTTCACACAACTTTAGTATCACCACGTGATACTAAAAACGTGTAATAATGCACTGCAATGTCTTCTTCCTCTCCCTACACCTCTCAGCCACTCTCTCCAGGCTCTGCCCAAGTGCACATTGCGCTCCTTCCCATGAAAAGGAGATTAACCCCCAGCCACCGCGCTGCTGCTGCCTGGGCCCGGCCCGTCCTGCTTCCCAGCTCGGCACACGCAGCCTCTGCCTCCCGGGGCACAGAGCGCGGCGGGGCTGGGGCAGCTCCTGCGCTCTTGGAGCGGAACATCCACCGCACAGCCACGCGCCTGACAGCCGAGCCGCCAAAGGCGTCACGCAAAAGGCCAATATTGGCTTTACAGCAAAAAACGGGTAGCTACGGAAAGCTGTATTGATCTGAAAGCCAGGTACTTGTTAGGTCAGTAGTGAGACAAATGCACTCCCAAATTCCTCTTATTTAAATGTCTTCCTGACTAATTGTTCTTGATTTTTCAAATACCAATTTGCTTCTGAGAGGTATGTGGGGTTAGTCTCATCTGCTCCACTCAGCAGCTACAAAGATAACCTCCTCTTCTCCTCAGTGTCCTCTTCCATTCAACGCTGTCCTTTAAGCTGGTGGGTAAGCCCTTTCCCCTTCCCTTCCTCCACCTCCTCTTTTTCTGCAGCTGGATTTATCTTTAGGAAAAGAAATGGCAAAGAATAATTGTGTTTCCCATGTCCTGGCACACATTAGCGATTAAGGTTCTAGGGCCCAGCGAGGGGACTTTAATTTGCTTTTAAGTTTTAGGCAGTGAAGTTGATGAAAATCAATAAATCATTAGGTTCACATATTTATAAATAGTTTTCATGCTGCTGTCAAACTGCCCAGATGCAGATAATTGCTGATGCTTTCTGGTCGGTGCCCCACTCGGCTGGCTGTACTTAGTGCCTCAGAAAACCAACCGGGAATGCGAAATCAAGCTCCTGAACAAAACACTCGCCAGCTCCATTCCCATCTCCCCGCTGCAAGCACACACCCCCCCTGCAATAAGAGCAAGAGCGACGGCCCGCGTCCCTGAGGGTGCCGGAGGATGAGGGGCTGCTTCGGCAGAGCGGCGGCAGCCGGCACGCACCCGCGGCACCAGCACCCCCGCCGGGCGAGGGGGAGCGCGCCGGCACGGCACGGCCGCCCCCGCAGAGGGGCTGGCAAGGAGGAACTTGCCTGTCCCAATGATCCTCTCGATTTTAATACTAGCGTTATCCAGCTCTTTGGCAAAGAGGTGCACGGCCTGCATGGGGTCTTCGCAAGTGTCAGGGTCGATGTACATCCTCCTGGTCGGTATTTTAACTGCAGGAGAGCAGGAAAGGCAGAGAGGGCTCATGAGAAGGGCTCGGCAGAGCTCCCGTTGGCCTGTCCTGGGAAATACGCTCGCAAACTATCCACCTCCAGGTCTGCTGGCAGGACTAACTTGCCACCCTTTTATAAGCAAAGCAAAAGACTTGGCTTTAAGGTTGCTAGGAAATTTCCTGTGGGATCAAATGAATCTAATCGCTCTGCTCCCCTGCCACAGCCCCTGGTTAAAGGGGAGCAGCTCCTTCACTCTAGTGCAGCTCCCTCCCGGACTGAGCCTCTCTGCCACCCATGCTGATCCTCAAGTATCCAAATCATCTCCGTTCCCAAGACCTCTAGGAGAGACAGTTATAAGCATGAACAACAGACATGTGCCAGGTCCCCTCGATTAGCAGCATGGGCAGCAAAATACCTCCCACAGGCGCCCACCGTCTGCTGCACGGCGAGGGACCCTGCCCGGGAGAACCGCACGGAACGAGGCCGACCCGCTTACGGGAGCCCGTGCAAAGCGCCGGCGGGGAAAGAGCCCCCGCTTGTTGGGGCTTCCTCAAAACCCCAATTCGCAGTTCCTGCAAACAAACAGCCGAAGCACACGAGCTCTGCTGCTCGCCGGGCCCCTGCTAGAGCGCTGCCGCGTCCCCTCCTCTCCCTGGGCGAGGCAAGGAGGGTGACAGATGTTTTGCATGAGCTGCTCGGCCCGTCTGGGACCAGCACACGGGCAAACGGCAGAGCCCTGCTGTCCCCGGGAAAGGGTCACACCACGCCAAGCTTCCCCCTTCCACCCCAGCTCCATTTGCCTTCCCAAGACCAGGCGGCTGCCGCGCTCCCCTCGCCCTGCACGGAAAACCTTCGGCAAACTCCCCCGGGCAGCTCAGCAGCACGAGGCCCTTCAGAGCCAGGCGAAACGGCCAGGCTGCATCCGAAAAGCACACAGGCTCTGCTGCTTCTGAAATGCTTCGGGGAGCAGAAGAGCATGTGTGCACTTCACAGGTGTGTGCCAGGAGTCAAATGAACTCATCAATCCTGACATCTGAACTTCCTTTGACAATTGTTGTCTGTAAAATTATTGCTGCCCGATAATCAAGAGTAGCCCCAGAAAACAAAGCTGTATTCTCATGAAGCCGTTTGTGAAAAGCTGATGGAATAATTTGCACACCCTGTGGAAAGCTGAAAGCACCCCCATTCCCTTTGGCACGGCAGTGACCTGTGTGCAGGAAGGACGGACGCTGCCTTATGAAGCTGTCAAGCCTGCGGTCCCCAGAGAGCCTTGCTGTGCTCAGCCCCTACTCGGGGATAAGGCGGGATCACAAGGCTCCAAAAGCAAGGACTCAGGGCTGCTTTGTGGGGAGCTGGGTTATTAATAGCAACAAATACAGGGGTCCCCCTACAGTCATGCTGGCCACGGTGGCCAGGCTTCACTTACAATGGAAGTACAGCTCCTCGTCCCCGTCCTGGCTGGCTTTGCTGTACCCACACTGTCTGCAACAAGAATGAAGACGCACACCATTATCCGGGCGGCAGCCTCTCGCGGGGTGTAGGACCCCAGGTCTCAGCACTCGGGGGCAGAGCGCAGCCCCACGGCACGAGGAGCCAGCAGGCAGCTCAACCCAGCTCCCGCGCTCCCGGGGGCAGCTCTGCGGGGGCTTCGCCCCGCTCCCCCCCTGCCCCGGTCTCAAACCCTCCCAGCTCAGCCCCGGCGCTGCTCACCTCCTCCAGACCATCACGCCGACCAGCATGGACACCAGCACCGTCAGCCCCGCGACGGCCACCACGGCGATGATGAGGACGGGGCTCTGCTCGCTGGAGGCCACCGTCACTGCGGGAGGGAAGCAGAGCGGGTCAGCACCGTGCCCGGGGGCAGCTCCAAGGCACCGGGCAGCCCCGGCCACTCCTCCCAGCGCCGGCCGGCGTCCTCCAGCAAGGCTGTGGGGCGATTCACCTGCAGCGCCAGGCTGCTTTTCACCATCCTCACAGCAATTCACATGCTGGCTCAGTTTTAAAACCTCGAGCTGTTGCAATCGGACCAACGCGCCGGGCAGCGCTGCAGGTGCGGACGGAGCAACCCCCACGCTGCCACACCAGGCTCCCGGTTTTGTTAATCAGTGCTGAGGAAAGGTTCCTGTTTATCGGAGGGACGTATTAAAATTTATGGCTTACAAATAGTTTTCCTTCATCACATTAATCCCTTTCCTTCCTGCTTTTGCAAACAGGGATATTAGAAAGTTACATTCTATATAAAATTTTTATTGGCTTCAATTCATTCTGAAAATGTCTTCTGTGTGGCAAATGGATGCAATTTAAAGCCCTGTTAAACACAATCTGTGAGAGTCGCACTGAGCCAGCCATCTCAGGGCTTTCATTTCTAGCCAGAGTGGGTTATTAAGCTGAAGCCCTACCACCTCTCCAAGCCCTCTTTTAGTCAGTGAAAGAAGATGCTTCTGGCCTATAGTTATGAATGGAAACTGAAAAGGAAAAGCCCCAGCAAATAACACTGGTGCTGGCTGACCTCATTCAGCTGCACGGCTAGCAAGCCAAGTGCCTCGTGAGCCAGGAGGGCAGTGGGGGTGAGCAGTGACCCCCCAGCCTGGGGCACGCACGCAAGGCCAGTGGGATCTCCCCCTTGCCTCCCCCGCTGCAGCCCGGGCCGCAGGCCTCCCCGGGCAGGATTGTGCCCTCGGCAGTTACGCCGGTGGGGACCAACGCTCACTCCCTTCCAGCACCAAGATCGCGCCCAGGCAAAACCACCCCGTTGCTCTGGCTCTGCTAAGCACCTTCTCGGGCGATCCCAACTGAAGAGCAGAGACACCCTGTCCCAGCCTCTGCGCCAGAGGAACCAGAGACCGGCTGCCCTCCCTGGTGCTGCACTGAGAGGGGTGAGGACAGACCTCCAGGACAGGCAGGCCAGCAGTAGCAACCTTGCCAAAATCAAATAGGAAAACAATTAAAAGCGAGTCCTGGGAAGTACCCACTCTTAGACCTGGAGCTGCAGAACCAGAGGGACAGATGCTGCTCCACGAAACTGAGAGCATCTGGGGCAGGAGCAGCAGCATCCCCATGACTCAGCTCAGAGAGCCTCACATCTGCAGGTGTGCGCTAAGGGGTGAGGAGCCTTGCCAACACTTACACTCTGCCAGCGTCTCCACTTCAATACTAGGGCTGTAGTTTCCATAGTCTGGCGAGGAAGATGTCCGGATTTGGAAAATATAGAGGGTGCCAGGCTTCAGGTTATTGACCGTCACGGCCGTTGATGTGGTTTTCACAGTTGAGTAACTTTGATCTCTCTGATCCTGTGAAATAATGAGATACCTGAGATCGAGCTGGACTGACAGCTGCGCCGCGGAGCAGGCACAGCACAGCCCCACCTCCGCCTCGCCTCCGGGTCCCATCAGGACACTCTATCTAAACATAAAACCTTCAGCAGAAAGAATACCTTTACTAGATGTCTCATTAATAGAAATTACATGGAAAGGTCACAGGAAATGGCAGATGGAGCGGGATGATGTGCTATGGAGGCGGGCGGAGGACGGGGCGGCAGGGAGCTCTGTGCCACCCCACACGGCTCCTTTCCCCCCGCCTGCCCCCGCGCTGGGGCTCGGCTGCCCGCACCGACCGGCCCCTTCCTGCTCCCCCGCCACGGCCGCTCGAGCCCTGGAGTAATTCCGGGTTTATTAGCACACGCTGAGGAATCAGAGCTGGCGGGTGGGTTTGCCAACAGTCCTGGTTCCCCAGGATTTTATTCACTTGCCCAGAGACCTACAGACCCCTCTGCTTTGACTGAGGGAGAGCAGGATGGGCAGCCCCCGTCCCGCAGCCGATGCTGGAGGCGGTGAAGGCAGGGTGGGCTCTGCCCAGCCCCACGGCTGGGGGACCTGGGGCGACTCGCGCTGCTCTCGCGTGCCAGAGCGGCGCATCCCCGTGCCTCTGCTTCCCGGGGTTCACACAGCAAAACAAGCAAAACAAAACACGTGCTGCTGCGCAGCCGCCACCGGAGACCGTCTCCTCAGCCACATCGGGTACAGCTGAACAAACTCCTCGGCCGGTGCTGCTGCAGAGCTGGACGGGGGTTATCTGAGGCCACTGTCCACCCCGAGCGGGGCCGGGCCACATCCCGCGGCCTCGGCCCCTCTCGGACCCCCCGCACGCGTGCTGCACCCCCGTTACGGGGGGCCCGGCTCCCGGCAGCTGCCATCCGCTGCACCACTCCCAGGGCCAGGGACGTCGCTGTGAAATGTATTTTCCACTTGATACGCTTTTCCCCTTGAATCTCCATAGTTAAAGCACAGCTTTAAAAGCAAAGATTAGGAACTAAGTTGATTTTCATGTCAGCATCAAGAGCCTCATTTCAGTGAATAATCGCTAAACTATCGTTTGAATTCCCTACCCAAGCAGGACGTTTCCTCATTTCACATACCAAGTATCTTGTTGCTGCAGCCCATTTGCACAGGAATTACCGTCTCAGGCTTCAGCGTTTGCCCTCACCCACAGATTCTTCCTTTCAAATCTATCAGATGCTTGAAAATCACATTAATATGAATCAGCTTCAAGGTAGCTTGTTTCTAAATACAGAACGCCAGCATGTCACCTGCACGCTTTGCTTGACATGTAATCAGTTTCATAACAAGCCTGAGCACATGCAGATAAGGTAATTTGCAGAACTGTGTCATAAACTGCATTTATTTTGATTTAGAGCATTGTCCCTGCTCTCTGCCCACCGGTATTTCTTCTAAAATTCTCAACCCACCACACCTGTCAAATAACAGCTATTTTTAAAATTAAGAGACTGTCATAAAAATGTTTGCTTGCGTTCCCTCATGTGTGGAAGACCATTCACAGCTCACCAAAGTCACGGGTTCAGTGGCCCTCAGTCCTAAACCAGTGAAGACCACAAGGTCCAACACTTTCCCAGAGAGCAGGCTATAAATACAGGTGTCATCTTGTCAAAGATTTAGAAACCCAGCATGGTTTAGCAGTCCCTGTCTAGCTGGCTAATGGCAAGCACCCAAATCTCAGACTTCTAATGTCCTTGAAAAAACCCATCCAATGCATTAAAAAAAAAAAAAAAAATAATGAATGAAAATTATTAGCTTTACTCTTTCTCCCAGGGAGATGTCAACATTAGGACTGGATGAAATCTTGCTGCACAGATGGGGGAAAAAAACACTAATTAACATAAACTCTACAAATAATCCGAATTTCCTGCAACTTGCATAAGCAGATTGCATAACGCTGTTGGGGAAGAAAAGACCTTATTGGCCCCCATTTGAAGCGCTCCTCTTTCTTTCTGGTGCCAGTAAAATCTTCACGGCAGCCACGGCCGCAGGCACGCACCCACCACTCAGTCTTCACGCGGAGGGTGGCTGACTGTGACCCGGAGTGGCAGCACACGCGGGGCCCCCCGGGCTCCCGAGGGCCAGACCTGCCTGGCGAGGGAAGGACGTGGGGCGCAGCCGGGGCCGGGGCCAGTCCCCTGAGCCTACCTTCTCGTAGTACTTGACCTCGTACTCGGTGCCGTTGGCGGGCGGGAAGCCGGGCTCCTGCCACGACAGGGAGATGCTCTTCTGCTCAACTTTATCCGTGCGGATGTCGGTGACGGGAGTCGGCGCTGAAAAAGCAGAGAGGAAAGCAGGGGGTGGTGGCGGCCGCGCACCCCCCCGGCTCCGGCAGCACCCGCGCGCCCCTGCACCGGCCCAGCACAGCCTGCCAGGGCGGGGGCAGCGCCCCGGGGCACGGCCACCGACACCGCCTGCCACCACGCTTCGGTTGCTTTGGTTCCGAACAGCCAACTGCAACCAGGAGATCGCAGGTTAGGAGGAATTTTATCTCTATCCTCTTATCCATCTGGGCTGCCAGCCCCACGCCAGCCCGAACGTGTTCGGTGGTGGAAACTTCATTTCTGCTCCTGCCCTGTGATGCCACAGTAAAAGCTTTAACAATTTAAACAGCCGGAGAGTGTGCCGGAGAACTGCACATACCAGTTCCCTCTATCTGAACCAGGATTGAAATAAAGCAAACTCCAAGCTAGTGATCATCCAAGGAAAGATGATGGCGGTAAAATACAACAGCTTTGAAATCTGTGGGCAGCTAGTAACGCTCTGACTGAACACAAGCAAGAATTCCTAAAGGCACCCGCCACCCATGTTGCTGCAGAGGGGTCTGAGCGCCAGCTAACATCCACTGCTCTGAACCTGCTTCCAAGGATTCCTGGGCAATCCAAACACAACCTTTGAGCAGGAGGACTGTAGGACGTACCAAGGCTCCTCCAGCCACCTCAGCACAGGCTCTGCCCCACGCCGCCCCAGAGAGCCGGGAAGGCGGGGGAGCTCCCTGCCCTCCCACTGCCAAGCACACAGCCTGTGCCCCAGGAGCTGGCTGTTTATTTCTAGTTAGCACATGCTCCATGCTGAATCCTCCTCCCCGGCATGTGTGCTCCCGCTTAGTTCATCTCTCTGTGCAAGATGCACTTGCCAACTATTCCCATTTTAACCAGGTTTGGCTCCAGACGAGCTGACTTCTCCCGCACGCAGCAGGCAGCTCGCTGTGCCCGGCTCCCCGCAGGCTCTCTGCCCGACGCCTTCGCTGTCTGCGGCAGCAGAGGAGGGTCTGCCTGCCCTGCCCTGCCACGCTCGCCTCCGTGTCCCCAGAGCCCCTCCGACCGCCTTCTCCTGCCTCCGAGCCGCTGAGCCGTGCCGGGCGGCCGACAGCAGTGGCCCCGCCTGCACCGGGCTCCCCACCCGCAGGCAGCACCCCAGCAGCTCTTCCGAAAGCCTCTGCCTCCCGCCCCGGCAGAAAGCCAGCCGGCCCGGCCAGCCCGGCTGCAGCATCCGCGGAGCCAGCCGAGGACACGGCATCCCCGGCTGCCCCGAGCCAGGCGGCACCGGCTCAGCGCGAGGATCTCCACGGCCGGGGCACTCACCGGCAGCGCAGGGAGGAAGGGGCTGCTCGGGACATGCCAGGACACCAGTGTCTTTGCAAAAAAGTGCTAGTCAAGAAAGACGCTCAATGTTTTAGTAGGGAAAATAAACTTTGCACCCGGTGCCTTGGTAGAAGCTTCTACCAGAGCTCCTTGTTGTGCTTTGGATCGATTAGAGAGAAAATTAGGATTGATTAGAAAAACTGACCTCCCCAGTGGCTGAACATGCCAAGTAAGGTCTTCACAGCTCTCCTGAGGCAGTGTCACACGCGGTCCTGGTCAGGGGACAGAAAGTCTCCTCTCCGGCCGAGAAGGCTCGGTGACGGCGGCTGTGGGCAGCCCAGCCATCAGCCTGGCCGCGGCCGGCGGGCCCGGCCCCAGCCCAAGGCAGGGGGGCCCCTGCATCGCCCCGGAAAGCGCCAGCGGCCAGGACACACCCGGGTGAAGGGGCTGCAGGGATTCACCCGTTTATACCAGCGGCCCTGCAGCGGGCACAGTGAAAGCTGCACGGGGAAACCGGCTGTTTCTAGCTTCTCCCAATTCCCCATCAAATCAGGACGTTTGCTGAACTCTGACCATCCCACAGAGACTCCTGCGGAGAGGAACAAGTCCCTGGAAAATAAACTTAAGTATCTGTGGAATTTTGTATTTATTACTTAGCTCATTAATCTCTGCTGAAGAAAAATTCCTCTTGGTGTTTTATTCATGATGATTTGCCCCTTGATTCCAAGTCCCTTCAGCTTCTGCTGAATGAGCAAGAGGTCCCAAAGGGCAGCGGGGAGCCCCCGCACACCGCTTCCCCCGCCACGGCCCGCCTGCGCGGCACTTGGTGCTTTGAAAAGCAATTCTCCGAGTAAATACTCTGGCCCCAGAGCTGACCTTTACGGGGATACTGTGTGCAAAGGAGGGGGAGCAAGCCCACCCGGCAGCACGAAGCAAAGCAGGAAGGTTCTCAACGCTCCCGCCAGGCCAAGCGGGACACCAGCCGCGTGCTGAGACCTGCCACCGCCGCGGGGCCGAGGCGAAAGGCGGCTCCGGAGACCTCCACGGGCGCCCACGGAGCAAACCTCGCCTGCCAGCACCTCGCCCTGCGGGCCTGCCGCAGGGTACCGCCCACGCCTTTCGCACAAGGGGGGCCCGCGACTCCTCCAGCACGGCGGCCCCGCGGTGCTGCCGCCCCCCACGCCAGCCGGCAGGACAGCGCACGGGAGGCGGGCAGCGCCAGCAGCACCCGCGGGCACCAAACCCCTCTGGCAGGGACCGCCCGCCCCGCCGGTACCAGCCCGGTGCCCTCTCGCGGCGCTTCAAGCACCAGTAACGAGTACGACTGGATCTGCACCAGCTCGGCACAATTTTGCTCCAAACCTTGCAAATTGCCGCTTATTCCCACTTCATCAGAGCCAGGCTTAGGCTAGCACAGGCTATAACATGGCATTTGGTGCTGGGGCGGAATAGTGAGAATGATTTTCATATACAAGGAGCGTTTCAATATGATGGAAAAAAAGAGAAATATTCTCAACTCTCTCCATCGATCTCACAAGCACACCCTGACCCTTACAGGCACGCTCGCAGCTCTCATCGCTGGACAGCGGGGTAACCCCCCCCACCAGCCTGTGGCCTCTGCACGAGCGCACGTCACCACGTGCGTTATGGCACGACAAGCGATACAGGCGGCTGAGCCCAGCCTGGCGCTTAACTCGGGGTTTGCTCCTGTAACCTAAGTTAAGTGCTCCTTGCTGTTTTATATGGTTCCCATCAATAAAATATCACACAGATGCCCTCCTGTATCTCTGAATCGAACAAACGCACTGAGGAAACCTGAACAAGTGGTCCTGAAAAGCCATCACAAAAAATCACACTCACTCAGTGATGGCTGTAGAGCAGAACTCATGGTACCTGCCAGAAAATCAGGCACTAGCCTCAAACATGTTTAAAAGACATCAAAAAAAAACCCCACACACTATAAAGCATTTCACACTGTGGAAAAAAAATGTGTTTCCCATCAATATTTTAAGCTCCCCTAACATTGCTTCTATTCTGAAAAAGCAAACATTAAATTATTCACCACCCTGCCTGGTTTTATAAACCCCGTTCCATTGTAGGTGGGTTTCCTCCTCTTAATTAACCAGTGTACCAGCAGCAAAGGCATAAAACTAGGTGTGGGCACCGCGTCCCCGCACCGAACGGCCTGCTGCACCCAAAACCCGCCGGGAGGGAGGACGGCAGGCAGGTAGAGATGGGGTTGAACCGCGAGCGCCGGCCGGCCACGCAGCAGGAAGAGCCCCTGTGGTGCCCAGCGCGGGTCCCGCACCCGGCCGGCCCCGGGAAGGGCCCCCCAGCTCTGCAGAGCCGGGGCAGCCGGGCAGACACACGGCACCCAAAAGCAACCAGAGCCCGGCCCCTGGGCCCCCTGCACCGCTCGCCCCGCGCAGAGCACGCACCGGGCACCGGCCCAGGCAGCTCCCGCCCCCGGGACCCTCTCTCCAAACCGGAGGAGCAGCCTCACCAGTCACCCCGCGGCTCCTCCACGTCCAGCTCTCGCTGCGTGGAGGGCACGGACCCCGCGCCGCAGCCCCTCGCCCCACGGACCCCCCACCCCTCCGGGCTGGGGCTGCGGCACCAGCGACAAGCAGGCGCAGAGGGCTCTGCCTGCCAGGACCTAAGTCAGGACAAACCGCTTCTCCCCAGTCTCAGGAAGGAGAACGCGCTTCCGCACTGGCTGCATTATTAATCTGCAACAGATTTAAAAGCCCTTTAAGGTAGGAGCTGATCCCTGCCGGGAATATAAATGACATCGTACCAGAGCGTACATTTACATAGCTAATGCAGCTCCAGTCCTGCAGGTAAACAGCTCCGTTCTCTCCTCAAACACTTTTATTTAGTCCCATGCTGGGGCCAGATTAGAAAAAACACAGTATTAATTTTGCCTCCTGCAGACTAAATAGCATCTTTTCTTTTCCCCTGCAAATACAATGAACAACTGCTAATTCCCTCTTGTGACTGCTGAAGGGGAAGGGCAGTGTGAAAGCTGCACTCAGAGCTATATTTAGAGGAGCAGGGATCCGACAGCTAAATAGGGTCTTGTTTCTTTGTTTAATTTTTCCTCCGAATCTGCATATCTGCAGCCAGAGCTTCCCTGCTGCTGCAAATGACCTCCCTGAGCCCATCGCATCGCAGCCACCAAGGGAGTCACTGCTGCTTCAGGCATCCCTGAAGTCTCCTTCCCCCTTAACTCTGGCCCCATCCGGCACTTCTGGGAGGGCTCTGAGGACGAGGGGCTCCAGGGCTGAGGACTCGCCGGCCGTGGCTGCCTGGCCTGCCGTCGCCGGCCACCCCGGCCCTGCACAGCCCTCCTCGCAGGGGGGCTCCTGCCCGAGAGCAACCAGCCCGAGCGGCCGCCTCCCCCGGAGGGGACCTCCTCCCCTTTGCCGACAGGCGCAGGTTTATCACCACTGTCACTTCTTGTCCCCGGTGCCAAAGCGAGGGGGACCGGCCCACCTGGGCACCTGCGGAAGGAGCAGCTCCCGCCTGGCGCTGCCCCCAGGAGGGGACACCTTCGGCAGCAAAAAAACTTCAGTGTTTCAAGAAACTTCCTGAGCCTCAGCTGCTCAGCTAATTCCGAGCCACCATCTGCATCCGGAGACTTGACAGCTTGACAAGAGACATTGATTTTGAACAGATTACGAGATTAATTATGCCATATTCTTTAGGCATATCTCAGCTCCTTCGGGAGTATGCAGTGTCAAGTAAGGGGTTGAGATCCCCACTTGCCCAGAGGAAGAGCTGTATTAAACAGACGGGCGGCCAAGGTAGGGCTTGGTGCCACGGACTTGTTGCTTCACTCCCTACAGAAGATGGGGCACTTGCTGCCCCTTCCCAGCCTCTTGTGCCCGGCTCAGACCTGAAGCTCCAGGCGAGGAGGCAGCTCCTGAGCATCAGTCCCACTGGCCTCTGCCTGGCACCAAGCAGGAGTCTCCAGAGGAACGGCTCGTTATTAGGGCTCGTTATTAGACCTCATTAAGCTCACCCCTCTCTAGCTTCTATGCTGGCTCAGGAATAGCCTGAGCTCAGGAGACAGGGGATCTTCCCAGAGCTAGATCCATCCTTGAACAGCAAAGATCCTAATGAGGAATGACACCTCCACTGAAGAGCAGTCTGCGGCACAGCATCCACCCAGCAGATTCACGGAATTATTGTATGAGGGAAGAGAAAACAACCACACACGCAAAAACATTTGATCAAGTGGTGGGAAAATTCTTTATAACAAGATCAAAGTTTAATGTCTTCAGATGAATTTGTTGGCCAATTCCTGCCAAGAGGTATGTGAGGATCATCTGTCTCCATTAACTGTGTCTTGGCAAAGGGTTTTCATGCAAATTAATAGCGTAACCACAGAGGAATAGACAAGGACACAACAATCCAGAGCTGATTTTCCTTAGACATAGCTAACAACCGAGGAGGGATCAAATCCGGCTGGCTGGCCGTGCAGGCAGCTGGCCGCTCTCTTCCCTTCACATAAGGGAACAGAGATGAGAAATGTAAAGTGAAGGGGACACTTACAGTAAGAAATTGTGCCACAGACCAGCATAGAGAGAGATTAAAGAATTTTTTTTGTTTCTAAAGAATAGCCAATATTTGGATTATCTATTTTAAGGAGGGGTTTTTATGAATGGGCTGAAAATGTTGCTTCTTTGAAGGTGCTTTTTTGTGATTTGTAAATTGAAACTGCAGCCGGATCACAGAGCAGGCTCATGCCTTCGGAGGAGCCCAGGCTGTCACCACGCTCGCTGCCACCCAGCTGAGGGACACAACGGGGCCACCGGCTCCTCCGGTACCGCCAGTTCCTCGCCTCCCCATGGCACCGGCTGAAACCCCCGTGGGGGGGTTTCACGTGGGTCCCAATCTCCCCCTCCTGCCCGCGCTGCCTGAGCACCACGCCTGTGCCCCCCCCACCGCTGAGCACCACGCCTGTGCCCCCCCCACCGCTCAGCACCACGCCTGTGCCCCCCGCCACCGCTGAGCACCACGCCTGTGCCCCCCCCACCGCTGAGCACCACGCCTGTGCCCCCCCCCACCGCTGAGCACCACGCCTGTGCCCCCTGCCACCGCTGAGCACCACGCCTGTGCCCCCCCCACCGCTGAGCACCACGCCTGTGCCCCCCCCACCGCTCAGCACCACGCCTGTGCCCCCCCCACCGCTCAGCACCACGCCTGTGCCCCCCCCCTACCGCTGAGCACCACGCCTGTGCCCCCCCCACCGCTGAGCACCACGCCTGTGCCCCCCCCCACCGCTGAGCACCACGCCTGTGCCCCCCCCACCGCTCAGCACCACGCCTGTGCCCCCCACCACCGCTCAGCACCACGCCTGTGCCCCCCCCCACCGCTGAGCACCACGCCTGTGCCCCCCCCACCGCTGAGCACCACGCCTGTGCCCCCCCCCACCGCTGAGCACCACGCCTGTGCCCCCCCCACCGCTGAGCACCACGCCTGTGCCCCCCCCACCGCTCAGCACCACGCCTGTGCCCCCCCCACCGCTGAGCACCACGCCTGTGCCCCCCCCCACCGCTGAGCACCACGCCTGTGCCCCCCCCACCGCTGAGCACCACGCCTGTGCCCCCCCCACCGCTCAGCACCACGCCTGTGCCCCCCCCCACCGCTCAGCACCACGCCTGTGCCCCCCCCCCTACCGCTGAGCACCACGCCTGTGCCCCCCCCACCGCTGAGCACCACGCCTGTGCCCCCCCCCACCGCTGAGCACCACGCCTGTGCCCCCCCCACCGCTCAGCACCACGCCTGTGCCCCCCACCACCGCTCAGCACCACGCCTGTGCCCCCCCCCACCGCTGAGCACCACGCCTGTGCCCCCCACCACCGCTCAGCACCACGCCTGTGCCCCCCCCACCGCTCAGCACCACGCCTGTGCCCCCCCCACCGCTCAGCACCACGCCTGTGCCCCCCCCCACCGCTCAGCACCACGCCTGTGCTGCCGAGCAAGCCAAGAGGAGTCGGGGTGCAGCTGTGGCGTGGGGCCCGCAGAGCCCGAGGCCGGTGCCCACGCCCCCCTCCAGCCCCCACATTCCCCCCCAGTGACGAGGCCACGGAACCGGCAGCTGAGCAGACCCGTACGGCCCAGGGACGAGGCGCACGTGCAGGACAGCGCAGGCAGCGGTTCTCGTCGTGCGCAACGGGGCGAGGGGCCGCTCCCCTTCGGTGGTCGCGCTACGCGGCAGCCGTACCTGCGGGGCCGGTGGAGACGTTCACCTCGGCGTACTGCTGCCCCGACAGCGGGCTGAGCCCTGAGACGCCGTTGACGGCCGCCACACGGATGGTGTAGTTGACGTGAGGCAGCAGGTTCACCAGGGTGACCGTCCGGTCCACGAGCCCCGTCTGCTGCGGCACAAAGCCCACGCCGCTGCCACACTGCTCGCAGCGGCCCCGCAGAGCCGCCGGGCACCGGCCACACCACAGGCTGTAGGTCAGGTCGCTCCGGCCACCCGCGTCGGCGGGCGCGCTCCACTCCAGGACCAGCGACGACTGCCGCAGGCTGTAGACCAGGTTCCTCGGGGCGGAGGGTGGACCTGGAAGAGGAAAAGTGTCTGTGCACGGGCACCGGGACAGCCGGGAGCTGCCCCGGGGAGGAGGGTCCCCCAGGAGCAGCGGCACCGGTGGGGGAGCAGGAGAGCGCGGCCCTGGGCAGCCGGAGCACATGGCAGCACGAGGGATACGGATGCACGGATGCGTGCAGAGCAGCGGGGACAGGGGCCGGAGCTTCCCCGCCGGAGGGACGGGTACGCAGAGCAAGGCGCAGCTCACCCAGTGCGTGAGAAGCGCCTGGCCGGACCTGGCACCTCCCCGGGGCCCCGGAGCCCCACCGCCGGCCGGCCCCGCCAGCCACGCTCGCTCTCGGGCAAAGCGGGAGCGGTTCTCCTCGCTGCGCAGGCGGTTGTACGACATCCATCACTGGAGGAGCCGGGGTCCAATCCAATTAACCAGAGGCCATTTAATTAAAATCTGCAAGCTATATTGACTAAGCGACTGTGCCCTGGTTTCACCAGGGAGTCTGCAAGCCCGGCTGCACGTCTGTCTCGTCAGATCGCAGGCCCAGCGTGCGAGCTCTGTGGCGTGGGGACGGCGGGGCCGTCCCCTCCCCGCTGCGGCAGCACCCGAGTGCCGGCACGGCCCCCAGGGACACGCGTGTCCCGGCGCAGCCCCCGCGGGCTCGCACACCGCGCTGGCAGCGGGACAGCCCCGGGCAGCTTCCCGGCTCCGCGCCGCAGGGCAGACACAGCGTCTGGGTCCCTGTTCCCTCGCCAATCCAGCGAGACGTACGTGTGCAGGAGGCAGACGGCGGGTCTGACGGAGACCTGGAGTAGTTCTTCTGGCACGAACAGAACGTGGAGGCTTCCTCGTGCGTGAAGCTGTGCTCAGGGCAAGGAGAGCAGAGAGGGAGACGGAGGGACAGCTTGTAAAATCCAGGAAGGCAAGCTGAAAAGACAGAAAGAGCGAGTTATGGGAAGAACACCGCAAGGTGAATGGGGAACACGTTTGATGACTGCACTTCCCTGTTCCCTGGGATAGCCTTTGCCTGCCACTGGCCAGCAGATAGCACCCTCCAAGCTACCTTCCCTGAGCACCTCCATGACCCTGGCACTAAGAGCGATGTGCCTTTGGTGTGACCCAGAAGGGACGTTTGGATGCTGTGGCTCTGCACTGACTTCCAGGCTGAGGGACTCTTTCAAGGGGCTGGAGAAATGGTCGGACATCAGCTGGGGCAACGCGTGAAGGGAGCTGGAGGTTCCGGATGGACATGGGGGACAAGGTGGCTGCAGAAAGATGCAGGATACGGAAAACACATGGCTTAGGGTTTAGAGCCAGGTGAGCAGAGCAGAAATGACATGGGAGCCACAGCAAGACTCAGCAACAACTCCAAAAGGAGAGGAATATTGAAAACGGAGAAGTTGGAGACCTCATCAGTCACCAGAGCTTCATACACAAACCCAAGTCCCAAGGCCATGTCACTGGCAGCTACAGCTTTAGCACTGTGGATTATACAGCAGTCACTGCGGGCAGTGGCTATGTGCTGAAGTTAAACAACAGTAGTATAAATTTGCTTTTATAGGTCATACACTAGCTTCCCTTATCCTTTGAAAAGTACCTCTGATACACAAACAAACAAGTAATTCACACAGCGGTCAGAGATTTGCTTGACCTTTACTACAAGCAATACTCCTAGCAGGACACCCAGAAGCTAGTTTTGCATGAAAGACTTATCACTTCACAAAAATAACAAAAAAGGCTGCAAAATTCCATAAAGCAGTTTGCAACCGCTCCAGTTTGACCTTAAAACATCTGAAAAAGCAGCAGCCTGCACATCAACGTGCGCCTGTCATTGCTGGGCAGCCCCTCCACACTGTGGGGTGACCCCCAGAAGGGCCAGCCCCAGGGCCAGGAGTTTGTCTCAGCTGGATTTCAAGCCAAACAGAAGCACTCATGTTTTGCTTGGCTCCTTCATCTTCTTAATGTGGTGCTGCTGTCTGCTATCCCTTCATCAGCTCCCTGAATATTTAAACTTAATCACTTGTAAAGTTCCTAGATGAACAGCTCCACTAACGCAGTCCCCTCTCTTATCATTTTTAAGGAGTTGGCTGCTGAGACTGTTCCTTTTAAAGCAGATTATTCCAGTGCACTCTGGTTCATTAATTTTTAGCATGACATAAAACTGGCAGCTACAGCTGTGATCTGAGGACAAAGCACTAGACGTAGCACAGGGCAGAGAGGATCCTTCCCTGGGATGCTGAAAAGGGGTGAACATTTACGGGGCGGCTATTTCACCTACCACAAGCCCTTCAGAAGTTCAGTGCCCTGCAGTCACACACGGGCAGGGCGGCAGCACCATGGCTGAGGTCTGCGCTCCCTGCGGTCCCTTCATCCGCTGGCACACCACAGAGCTGAGAGCAGCAACACACATGAGGTATTTTTGCTTTTCTTCTATAACAGACACACCCTTTCAAGAGCTGCCTAAAAGCCTTGCTCCTTGCCAGACAAGATCTTGTGCTCTCGTGTCACCCAACACAAGCAAAGCCTGCAGAAATGAACAGATTTGGGCTCCTCAAGCCCATTCCAGTTATGCCCAAGTACTGACGAGAGGCTTCCTTGTATCTGGAGTGGAAATTGCAACTTTCCAACTAATGTGGACTCAACATTGCATTTCTATGGCAAAACTGAAGGCTTAAATTGATAAAAAGGAAAATGAAAAAAAAAAAAAAAAAAACAAAAAAAACTTTTTAAAAATGAGGGAACCCAAATTAGCAGGTTATTCCCGGGCTCTTCCCGGCCGTGGTCCTGAGCTGAGCTGGGCAAGACAAAGCATTTGCAGTCACCCAGGCACGACGGGCAGCCTCGTCAGCGGGCTGCGGCCAGCCGAGCTGGTGACCCAGCTGGACACGGGGACCCGGCAGCCGTCACTGGGGCCGGGCAGGGGTGAGGTGCCCACGTGCCAGGAGCTCTCGCTGCTGTTGCTGGCTGCAGGGGAGCCCAGACACCCCCGCCAGCCGTCAGCGCCCGCCAGACAGCTGGAGCATCCTCTCCCGAGAGGGGCTGGAGGAGGGGCTTCTAGGAAAATACGTGTTTCTAGGAAGAAGAATTGACATTTGCTCCTTGATTTTGCAAACTCTCGGCAACAGCTGCTGCCAGTATGGGACTGGAGAGCCTGCGGTGCTGTACTCACCTCTCTCGTCTCACAGTCTGCACACCTCCAATCCCAGATAAAGCTAACCTTTAAAAGCATGGGCTTGACAAACACAACAGAGAAGTAAGATTAAGACAGCAAGCCGCAATGCATAGTAAATGTCATTCCCTACCTAGGGTGGTAGATAAAACAGGAAAAACTAGAAAATGTTTAAATTACTCCCAAAACGTCCAGCTTCCTCTTTATATTTGAGAAGCTAAACCAAAACTAATATTACATTCATATAATGGAGACACAGTTTGCTTTTTCCTTTCATTAGGCAGTACTGACCCCGATACAGGGCAGGAGTGTCACCAGTGGCCCACTAAAGATCCCAGCACTCAGTGCACAGCCACGTCCAGAGAGCAGAAGCCTGCAAGCACGTCCGACCACAGCGGAGGCAGCAGCCACATTTCAACAGAGACACCCAGCACGAGCGTGGAGAGCTTCTGTCTCTGCTGAAAGAGCCGCCGACAGCGAGCTGAGCACGTGCAGGCCCGTCCTGGGGGGGCAGAGAATCGGCAGCCCCCCAGACCCCGCGGTCCCTGCACACTGGGGACAAGATTTGAACTTCCCCCAACACTCGAGCGTTTCCTCCTGGGCTGGGCAGAGCAGGGCCAGAGATGGGGCTCGCTCTGACCTGGAACCGGCCCCTCTCCCGGGGACTGGGGGGCACGGGGAGATCCGAGCCCCGAGAGCGGAGCCGGGGCAGGGCAGGGGCTCCTGGGCTTTGGTGCTGCACATCAACCGCAGCCTCTGTCGGCCGCGGCCCCGGCTCCAGCTCCCCCCTCCCCGCCGGGAGCCGCCTGCCTCATTACAGCCCCAACGCTGGAGCAAGATTCCTGCTCGCACCCTCTGTCAGGCAGAACAGAAAAATCAATCTTGTTTACAAACTTGATGGGACCTGAGCACTACACCCAGACCATACGGCCACCACTCCTCGGATTTAAAGGTGAGCCCGGCAGTCACGTAAATTTGACATCTCATCGTAGGAAACTCAACGTTTTCAATTAGAAGCATCTTTCAGGCTGTTCCTCCCTGTTTTCTAATAGCTGGAAGTAAGTTTACAAAAGTGTCTGCCAGAAGGTATGTCAGATAATGACTGTACGGAAGAGCTCAGCTTGCATTTCCCAGAAACACAGGCACCACGACCCTGTGCGAGCACGTCCCACGAGGAGCCTGCCCGCAGCTCAGTTGGTGGGCTTACTTGCTAAATTTGTTCCTTGGTTGTCTGAATCTTACACTTGAGAAGAACAAAAGCGCCCAGCGCATGTGATGCATCATGTGTGCATCTCCATTTCTTTTCTCAGATAAACTCCCACCCTCTTCCACCTCATCCTACAAGTGTTTTTCTTGGTCCCCAGCTGGTTTAGGTGTCCCTGTTATTTCACAGTGCTCATTTTTGCAGTGGGTATGTGACAGCTCTCAGGAGGTCAGGCCATCAATTTACGGAATGAAACTCTTTTTTGTACACTATTTTCTATCCTATTCCTTGTCCCCTGGTGCTACCGCAACTTAATTATTAAATAATAAAATTCAATAATACATTCTCCTAGAGCCAAAAAGAAGCAGCTGGATGGGTCAGACAGATTAATTGCCTCTCTCCAGCTCCATCATCGCTGCCCACACAAGCTACTCCCTATTTACCAGGCGTGCCTTATTCATTTCACTGACAGAGAGAGTACATGTTCCCTCCTTGATATAACACTGTATGCACACACGATCAAACTAGTAGCAGAACAAGCACCATTGATTTGTGCTGCAGCTTGGCAGATTACCCAGCATGATGCACCCACGGGAAGTGTTTCTCTTACCAACTCATCTGCCGCAGCTCCTCGGACGAGAGCGGATGGCTCTAATCGAGAGGGGAAGGCAACGTCCTCTCTGACGTCTAGTCTGTGCCATAGGGAGAGCAGGGGCAACTGAAGATGCAGAGCTGAAAATGCATGATTTCCTACTCAACTGGCAAGGGACAGCTTTAATTTTCCCTCCCCAGCAGTTCAGACATCTCCACCTCACAGCACCATGAAGCCTGCCCAACTAGATTTTTCCGCCAGCGGCTCCCGGGCATAACCTTCCTCTCCAGCCTGCAACTCAGAGGGGCAGCTCCGAGGATGCCGAAGCTTTTCCTTCACCAGCAAGGATATCAACATTTTCTAAGCCGCAGTTAGCTGCATGTTCAAGTTTTGCCTTAAAAAATGGCAGAAGAGATCCTGATTAATTGGCAGAAGGGCATCAGAGTTTGAGCAGCTTTATCTTGTTAATCGATGAACAGTGATTAAAAGTGACTAAGTGCATCAAGTAGGATAACCTGACTGCAGGACACAGGCTGTGTAAGCTCCAGGGTTGATCGTAGTTGTTGTTCAAGTGAAGCATGGCCAAGATTTTGCATGCAACAGTAAAATGAAGTTATTAATCACTCCGGCAGCATTTACCAGCTGGTCAGCAGCCTTTTACGTTGTGCACTTATGATAGTCAACTGCTGCGGTGATGGGTATCTCGAACAATTAAGTTAACCTTTGATTTCTTTTTGAAGTAGAGGAACATTAACCACACTGACAAGTGGAAAACTGGGACAGAACTACTGTATGATTTGCACAAAGTCATACAAGACAAATAGGACCCAGACCAGGACACGGGTCTCTGGAGGCCCAGCCAGCTCACTGGCTGCACAACCAAAGGCAGCAGTTGATCCTTAAGGACTCACAGCTTTCCTCTGCAAATGCTCTGCATGTTGGTTTACACACGTGCAAAGAAG